AGCGACACACAGCCACACCAGCTGGCCTCAGCGACACACAGCCACACCAGCTGGCCTCAGCGACACACAGCCACACCAGCTGGCCTCAGTGACACTGCCATGGAGGTCGACGCACCCAGCAGGACCTTGGTGACAGATGTCGACACAGCTGGTGAAGTGAAGCAGCTGTGTCCGGCCTAGTGACCACCGCCGCCCACCCTGCCAGCCTCCACGGCACCACCACACGCGAGAATGATGGTGATGGAGTGTGGTGGGGGAGATTGGGGGGAGGGGGGAAGCAGGAGTATTGGTTGGGGTGTTGCTACTTATCTTAGCAACACACACACACACACACACACACACACACACACACACACACACACACACACACACACACACACACACACACACACACACACACAAGAAAGAACTTCTTTAGTGTCAGAGTAGTTGACAAATGGAATGCATTAGGCAGTGATGTGGTGGAGGCTGACTCCATACACAGTTTCAAGTGTAGATATGATAGAGCCCAATAGGCTCAGGAACCTATACACCAGTTAATTGACAGTTGAGAGGCGGGACCAAAGAGCCAGAGCCCAACCCCCGCAAGCACTAGGAGTTGATATCACACTAAACCTGTCTCCTGAAGCCCACATAAAAAGAATAACATCTGCGGCGTATGCGAGGCATCAGAACTGCCTTTAGGAACCTGTGTAAGGAATCATTTAGAATCTTGTATACCACATATGTAAGACCAATCCTGGAGTATGCGGCCCCAGCATGGAGCCCGTACCTTGTTAAGCACAAGACGAAGCTTGAAAAAGTTCAGAGGTATACCACTAGGCTAATCCCAGAACTAAGAGGCATGAGTTACGAGGAAAGGCTGCGGGAAATGCACCTCACGACACTGGAAGACAGAAGAGTAAGGGGAGACATGATCACTACATATAAAATTCTCAGGAATTGACAGGGTAGATAAAGATAAACTATTCAACACTGGTGGGACGCGAACAAGGGGACACAGGTGGAAACTGAGTACCCACATGAGCCACAGAGACGTTAGAAGGAACTTTTTCACTGTCAGAGTAGTTAACGGATGGAATGCATTAGGCAGTGATGTGGTGGAGGCTGACTCCATACACAGTTCCAAATGTAGATATGATAGAGCCCAATAGGCTCAGGAATCTGTACACCTGTTGATTGACAGTTGAGAGGCGGGACCAAAGTGCCGGAGCTCAACCCCCGCAAGCACAAATAGGTGAGTACACACACACACACACACACACACACACACACACACACACACACACACACACACACCGTGTCAGCGTGGCGGACAGCCCGCCTACCATCATAACTTTTATTATAATTACCATTGCAAAACTTTTTCCCTCAACTGTTCCCCGTCCATCTTTACTAAAAAAAAAAAGCGCTGCCTTCTAGCCTTGTTTTACCTCTGCGGCGTAATTTAAACTATTCTGACATTCAAATTATTTGTACAATTCGGCCTTAAAGATGTTAATGGAGGTGGCTTCCGCAACTTCTTCTCAGAGCACACCACTTGTTGACCACCTGTAAAGGTTATCTTGAGATGATTTCGGGGCTTAGTGTCCCCGCGGCCCGGTCCTCGACCAGGCCTCCACCCCCAGGAAGCAGCCCGTGACAACGGACTAACTCCCAGGTACCTATTTTACTGCTAGGTAACAAGGGGCATCAGGGGGGAAAGAAACTCTGCCCGTTGTTTCTTGCCGGCGCGCGGGATCGAACCCGGGACCACAGGATCACAAGTCCAGCGTGCTGTCCGCTCGGCCAACCGGCTCCACACACGCACGTGTACGCATCTTAACAACGAGAATTAGAGCCCAGTACACAACTACATGACCAAGAAAAATATTGATTGCGGGTGATAAATTCTTACGAAGGTTCAGACACTCTGACGGAAGATCTAAATTGACTTCCAACATTGTCAGTTACAAATCAGTGTTGCCAAGTGTAGGTCAAGGGCTCTAAACCCAGGAAATTAAAACAACGTTGCCAGATCTCAGTTGAACACTATTACGAAGCTTAATCTAATGATTGTGAATAGGGTTCGAGTCACGATTGGTACTGATTTAAACCAATCAAAATCAGGGGCCAGATTTACGAAGCAGTTACGCAAACACTTACGAACCTGTACATCTTTTCTCAATCTTTGGCGGCTTTGTTGATAATTATTAAACAGTTAATGAGCTCCGAAGCACCAGGAGGCTGTTTATAACAATAACAACAGTTGATTGGGAAGTTTTCATGCTTGTAAACTGTTCAATAAATGTAACCAAAGCCGTCAAAGATTGAGAAAAGATGTACACGTTCATAAGTGCTTGCGTAACTGCTTCGTGAACCTAGACCCAGGCTTAATAATGTTAGCTTTAAACTGTACCTTGCTCATACAAGACCCCCACCTGAGTAGCCTCAGCAGGTGAGAGCACCGCTCTCCACGCAACCCGTTCTCGCACTTTCGTATAGTCAATATTGACTTATTAAATACGTGCATATGTATTATTGTCACATATGCACCTATTTAATAAGTCAATATTAATATAAGTCAATAAGTAATTATAATTATTACGTAACCTATACCTATAATAGGTTAAGTAATAATTGTAATTACGAAGCAATAAGATGCTTATCTTAACATACTAAGAAGGTTAGGTAAGTTCGGTGTTTTCTATGAAGCTTTTTCAAGGTAAACGAAAATATTCACAATAAATTAGTATGTCACACATGCACTTATTTAATAAGTCAATATTGACTGTATGAAAGTGCGAGAACGGGTTGCTCCACGACGCCTCTACAATGGTGACTTTACACAGAAGAAACATTATATATCTGTCACGACAGTAAGAAAACTTAATGTCCAGAAATGTGTAGAATATGAGAGGTATGATTGTTTCGTGAATGCAAATTAAATAATGAATGATATAAATTTTTTACCGGTCATATTAATAGGCTGCTGATGTTGTCAACTGAAAAAGAGAGCACCAAGCAGTAGGTTCATAATAGATAACTTTACATTTACAATATAAATAGGCAAACACTATTTATATTTACGGAAATAGGGTCAGAAATCGTTTTTTTTTTCATAAATTAACATGTATATGACAATAGTCCTTAGAAAATTACAAATTGCGGCTAAATAATTATGTCTGTCGGAGTAGTTAGGTTGCTGAGCGGTAGGAGGCAGGACCCAAGAGCTAAACTCTCTCCCTGCAAACACACGTAGCCAAGAAACGAGAAGTATACAGAGAAAAACTTACGGAACAAGTCATCGGATTGACCAGAATTGCTGGAGAGGCGGGGCTTGGGAGCTAATGCTCGACCCTTGAGCATATCTAGGTGAGTGCGCTTGCAAGAGGATGAATTCTTCATCCTCTTGTTGTTGTTGCATTTCCCTCTTTCTTTCATTTTTCTTTTTCTGCTTGTGTGCTTTTTCTTCCGTGTTCTGTTCCTATGTTCTTGTTCCTTTTCCATTTTCCTCTGCTCTCCCTGCGTTCATTTTGTCTTCTTCCTTTCTCGTTTGAACCTGCGTTTCTTCTGGGTTTTTTTCCTCTTTTCACTCTTCGTGCATCTTTTATTCCGTCTCATTCCAACTTGGTTTGAGACTATGGATGTTTTAAATTCCGGCGGCGAGTCTTCAAATCACTTGCCTTCACTTTCTGGCGAATATTCAGCACCTCGGACTGGTACTAAAAAGGCTTAACTTCCTCATTACTTCATTGTCAAGGAATGCGGCCTCGCTGCGCTCCCACACTTTTGACTCCCTGTTTAATTGGCTCTTGTCTGTGCCGGCGGCTTTGGAAGGAGAGGGGGGGGGGGGGAAAGAGGAGCGAGAGGAGGGGATAGAAGAAGGGGAAAAGGGGGAGAGAGAGAGAGAGAGAGAGGAGGATTATGGGGCTCTGCATAGTGATAGGAAAATGGTGAAGGAATATAATGAATAAAGACAGTTGGGAAAGTAGAGAAGAGGGAAAGAGGGAGAGAACGGCTTACATTATGGCTTTAAACAGGAGCCGGTTAAGGATGGACGGCTGGTGGTGTTCAACTGATCGATTACTATATCCATCTTCCGTCCCAACACGCAAGGTTAGGCTACAGACGGCTACCAGTTGAACTTAGACAAAGCGGGATACTTGGGTATCACATAATATTTAGTGGAAAATATTGGAGGCAAAATCCCAAATTTGCACCGTAAAATACCAACATCCTAGAGGGAACGGTATGGCAGGAAATGCAGAATAGAGCCAGTGAAGAGCAGAGACGCCATAGGCACAATCAGAGAGCACTGTATGAAAATCAGAGATCCACGGTTGTTCAATATCCTCCCAGCAGGTGTAAGAAATATTGCAGGAGCAAAAGTGAACGAGTTCGCTAGGGTATATATTGGTCTAAGAGAAGAGGGTGATGGGTTGTGGGTCAAAAGTAACGGTGTCCACTATTGACCTGTAGAGGTCACAAGTTGGGAGAGGAGCTGGTGGTTTCAGATTTCAATTTAGCCATAGTGTGTTGTACAGGGTTTTGAGAGCAGTGACTCCTGTGTCTGCAAGGAGGATTCTCTATGCATATATGTACATTAATGTTATCGTTGAGAGGGGGGGGGGTTGAACCTGCTGCATGGGTAACAGCTTCTCCTCCATATTACCTACCCAGGCTTCGCTCCCTGGAGAGGACACTCCAGCCTCGACAACCAGAGCGCAACTCATAGTCTCCCAATACTGCTGGATGCCTACTGCTAATGTTATTTTCCCTGAAAGGTATATTTAATACACGGCGAGGGAGACAATGGCGACTTTGTCCAGAGAAGCGAGTGCTTGTGCTCTGATCTACAAGATCACGCTGGCTCTTACAAGACACAAGTTGATGCTTGGAATACATCTACAGTTTATATTAAAAGATCATTTGATTTTGTTTTTAAGTGTAAAGTCTTGGGGAACCCGTTCTTCAGGGCCTTGGGGAACCCATTCTTCAGGGCCTTGGGAACCCATTCTTCAGGTCCTTGGGAACCCATTCTTCAGGTCCTTGGGGAACCCATTCATCAGGGTCTTGGGGAACCCATTCTTCAGGGCCTTGGGGAACCCATTCTTCAGGGCCTTGGGGAACCCATTCTTCAGGGCCTTGGGGAACCCATTCTTCAGGGCCTTGGGGTACTCGTTCTTCAGGTCCTTGGGGAACCCATTCTTCAGGGTCTTGGGGAACCCATTCTTCAGGGCCTTGGGAACCCATTCTTCAGGGCCTTGGGGAACCCATTCTTCAGGGCCTTGGGGAACCCATTCTTCAGGTCCTTGGGGAACCCATTCTTCAGGTCCTTGGGGAACCCATTCTTCAGGGTTTTCGGCAACCTGATGTGGTTTAGTCCTCCACGTACAACATGGATGTTTATGTCGGGTCGGACGTCCGACATAAACGTCCAATTAGCGTCGGGTCGGACGTCGGGTTGGACGTCCAGCTCGGGTCACCATTTTGTAAACATTGCTGATGTTTAAGGCAAGTCTGTTGGCTATAAATCATTGGTAAAACTTGCCGGATCTCTGCGGGTTGACGTTGTTAAGGATATCGTAATCCTGGTCTGTGGCAGAGGTCTTCCGCCGGCAAATAGAACAGTTTTTGGTGCTTTGATGTGGATAATAACAAGTTCTATAATTAACGTATTGTGAGGCTCTTATGTTGTGTGTTGGTTTGAGGTCGAGTTGCTGAAGGATACAAAGTGTCTCTTTGATCTTTAAGTAGTTCTCAGACCAGTTAGGGAAGGAGAGACAGCTATAGTATATATGGTTTGTTTGTAGTGTACTCACCTAATTGTACTCACCTAATTGTGCTTGCGGGGGTTGAGCTTTGGCTCTTTGGTCCCGCCTCTCAACTGTCAATCAACTGGTGTACAGATTCCTGAGCCTACTGGGCTCTATCATACCTACATTTGAAACTGTGTATGGAGTCAGCCTCCACCACATCACTTCCTAGTGCATTCCATTTATTAACTACTCTGACACTGAAAAAATTCTTTCTAACGTCTCTGTGGCTCATCTGGGTACTAAGTTTCCACCTGTGTCCCCTTGTTCGTGTCCCACCCGTGCTGAAGAGTTTGTCTTTGTCCACCCTGTCAATTCCCCTGAGAATTTTGTAGGTGGTTATCATGTCTCCCCTTACTCTTCTGTTTTCCAGGGATGTGAGGTTCAGCTCCTTTAGCCTTTCCTCGTAGCTCAATCCTCTCAGTTCCGGGACGAGCCTGGTGGCATACCGCTGAATCTTCTCTAACTTTGTCTTGTGTTTAACTAGGTATGGACTCCAGGCTGGAGCTGCATACTCCAGGATTGGTCTTACATAAGTGGTATACAGGGTTCTGAAAGATTCCTTACACAAGTTTCTGAAGGCAGTTCTTATGTTGGCCAGTCTAGCATATGCCGCTGATGATATTCTTTTGATGTGGGCCTCTGGGGACAGGTTCGGTGTGATATCAACCCCCAGATCCTTCTCTCTATTTGATTCTTGCAGGATTTCCCCTCCCAGATGATACCTTGTGTTCAGCCTCCTGCTCCCTTCGCCTAATTTCATCACCTTACACTTTCCAGAGTTGAACTTCAGCAGCCATTTTCTAGACCATTCCTCCAGTTTATCCAGGTCATCCTGTAGTCTCTGTCTATCTTCATCCGTCTTGATTCTTCTCATAATTTTTGCATCATCAGCAAACATCGAGAGGAATGAGCTAAGTGGATCCTCCACCTTGTGGATCCTCCACCTTGAGAAGTTCAGTCGTTTCAGGATTTTCATTCTCATGTCAGACACAAACTATCTTCAGGTTATCTTGAGGTGATCTTGAGATGATTTCGGGGCTTAGCGTCCCCACGGCCCGGTCCTCGTCCAGGCCTCCTTTTTGTTACACCCCCCCCCCCCAGGAAGCAGCCCGTAGGAGCTGTCTACCTCCCAGGTACCTATTTACTGCTTGGTGAACAGGCGCATCAGGGTGAAATAAACTATGCCCATTTGTTTCCACTTCCGCTGGGGATCGAACCCGGAACCTAATGACTGCGAATCCTGAGCGCTGTCCACTCAGTCGTCAGACACCCTAATATCGTATAATACGTATAATAAGCAATAATATGGTATAATTATTTCAAGGAGGGGGGGAGTAGCCCCCCCCCCTGTGAAGTAGGGGGAGGGGGATTTACACCCTGTGAACCAAGAGGGGGGGGAGTACACCCCTGCATAGCTGGTGCATATTACGACCCAACATAAAGCCAAAAGAATCCAAGTTAATCGTAAATGATGATGGAGACACGGGGGGCTACTACCCTTCCTACCTCTCACAACCTTCCCCCGCACACCATCCACTTTCTTGACCTTCGTTCCTCTTTATGTCTCCCCTCCCCCCCCCCCCCCAGGCTGACCTTTGACCTTCCTACCCTCCCTCATTTCATCCCACTCAGATCTCAATAACAGTTTTGTGAAGAGAAAAGGTCACTTTACCTGGCGTGGAGCCTCCACGGACCTCTCCTCCTCTGGCCGATAATCAAGACATTCTGCCGTGGCGCTAGGAACATTCTGCCGTGGCGCTAGGAACATTCTGCCGTGGCGCCAGCAACATTCTGCCATGGCCCCAGCAACATTCTGCCATGGCCCCAGCAACATTCTGCCATGGCGCCAGCAACATTCTACCATGGCGCCAGCAACATTCTACCGTGGTGCCAGCAACATTCTACCATGGCGCCAGCAACATTCTACCATGGCGCCAGCAACATTCTACCGTGGCGCCAGCAACATTCTACCGTGGCGCCAGCAACATTCTGCCATGGCGCCAGCAACATTCTACCATGGCGCCAGCAACATTCTACCATGGCGCCAGCAACATTCTACCATGGCGCCAGCAACATTCTACCGTGGCGCCAGCAACATTCTACCGTGGTGCCAGCAACATTCTACCATGGTGCCAGCAACATTCTACCATGGCGCCAGCAACATTCTGCCGTGGTGCCAGCAACATTCTACCATGGCGCCAGCAACATTCTACCGTGGTGCCAGCAACATTCTACCGTGGTGCCAGCAACATTCTACCATGGCGCCAGCAACATTCTACCATGGCGCCAGCAACATTCTACCATGGCGCCAGCAACATTCTACCGTGGCGCCAGCAACATTCTGCCATGGCGCCAGCAACATTCTGCCGTGGCGCCAGCAACATTCTGCCGTGGCGCCAGCAACATTCTGCCGTGGCGCCAGCAACATTCTACCGTGGCGCCAGCAACATTCTGCCGTGGCGCCAGCAACATTCTGCCATGGCCCCAGCAACATTCTGCCATGGCGCCAGCAACATTCTGCCGTGGCGCCAGCAACATTCTGCCGTGGCGCCAGCAACATTCTGCCATGGCGCCAGCAACATTCTGCCATGGCGCCAGCAACATTCTGCCGTGGCGCCAGCAACATTCTGCCATGGCGCCAGCAACATTCTGCCATGGCCCCAGCAACATTCTACCGTGGCGCCAGCAACATTCTGCCGTGGCGCCAGCAACATTCTGCCATGGCGCCAGCAACATTCTGCCATGGCCCCAGCAACATTCTGCCGTGGCGCCAGCAACATTCTGCCATGGCGCCAGCAACATTCTGCCATGGCCCCAGCAACATTCTGCCATGGCGCCAGCAACATTCTGCCATGGCCCCAGCAACATTCTGCCATGGCGCCAGCAACATTCTGCCGTGGCGCCAGCAACATTCTACCGTGGCGCCAGCAACATTCTGCCATGGCGCCAGCAACATTCTGCCATGGCGCCAGCAACATTCTGCCATGGCGCCAGCAACATTCTGCCATGGCGCCAGCAACATTCTGCCGTGGCGCCAGCAACATTCTGCCGTGGCGCCAGCAACATTCTGCCGTGGCGCCAGCAACATTCTGCCGTGGCGCCAGCAACATTCTGCCATGGCGCCAGCAACATTCTGCCATGGCGCCAGCAACATTCTGCCATGGCGCCAGCAACATTCTGCCGTGGCGCCAGCAACATTCTACCGTGGCGCCAGCAACATTCTACCGTGGCGAGAGCAACAAGAAAGAAATTGGAAAAAGGGGGGAAAAGAAATGGTTAAAATACGATAAATGTATGATGGGGAGGAGGGAGGTGAGCCTTGGGGCGTTAGAGTTAGAGAGGGCAAAGAGCGGGAGTTGAGAAAGAAGAATGAATAGAATAATAGGGAGGAAGAAATAGGAGTGAAGGGGAGAGTTAAATATTGACAGAAAATTGGCGGGCGGAGATGATCATGAGGGCGGGAGATGGCGCAGTTATGATCAGAAGATAGATAAATAAATGTAGATAAAAATAAAAGTCACAGCTTCGTATCATCCTTTGCAGATGTCACAAAAATTAGCATGAAAATTACCTCTGCTGAAATCATTGAAAAACTTCAAGTCAAGTCACTTGTGTTGTCCCGTCTTGAGTACTGCTCAGTACTCACTTCCCCCTTCAGAGCAGGAGAGATTGCTGAAATAGAGGGTATACAGAGAACATATACGGCACGCATAGACGAGATAAAACACCTAAATTATTGGAATCGTCTCAAAGCTCTCCAAATGTACTCACTAGAAAGGAGACGAGAGAGATAACAAATAATATACACATGGAAAATACTAGCGGGCCAGGTCCCAAATCTACACAGTAAAATAACAACGTACTGGAGTGAACGATAAGGAAGAAAATGCAAGATTGAACCAGTGAAGAGCAGAGGTGCCATAGGCACAATCAGAGAACACTGTATAAACATCAGAGGTCCGCGGTTGTTCAACGTCCTCCCAGCAACTATAAGAAATATTGTCGGAACAACCGCGGACATCAAGACAAAACTAGATATGTGGGCCACTGCAAGCAACAGCCTGGTGGACCAAACTCTCACAAGTCGATCCTGGCCTCGGGCTGGGCTTGAGGACTAGACCCAAATCTACACAGTAAAATAACAACGTACTGGAGTGAACGATATGGAAAAAAATGCAGAATAGAACCAGTGAAGAGCAGAGGTGCCATGGGCACAATCAGGAGATCAGGGTTCAGGAGACGCTCAAAGGGGAACAAAAGGTCAGAAAAGGGAGATAAAGGGGCGTAGAGGAATTAATAAAACCAAAAAAATTAAATACAGAATGGTTGAATAGAGCTGCCGAAGCGTTAACTAGTACAGTAAAGGCCGCGAGGGTCAGGCCGGAGAGTTGGCAGCTGTGTAGATGCTGATGTGTGCTTGGGGCCAGATGCTGTGGTCGGAGAGTTGGCAGCTGTGTAGATGCTGATGTATGCTTGGGGCCAGATGCTGTGGCCGGAGAGATGGCAGCTGTGTAGATGCTGATGTATGCTTGGGGCCAGATGCTGTGGCCGGAGAGTTGGCAGCTGTGTAGATGCTGATGTGTGCTTGGGGCCAGATGCTGTGGCCGGAGAGTTGGCAGCTGTGTAGATGCTGATGTATGCTTGGGGCCAGATGCTGTGGTCGGAGAGATGGCAGCTGTGTAGATGCTGATGTATGCTTGGGGCCAGATGCAGTGGTCGGAGAGATGGCAGCTGTGTAGATGCTGATGTATGCTTGGAGCCAGATGCTGTGGCCGGCATCTGCCACTACATCTGAGCGAGCAAGCTTGCCCACCACCGATTAAACACCGGACAAAACGCAGATATAGAGAGCGAGAGACGCGGGGGAAACAGAGTGGGCGATGCCACGAGATCACTGTAAGAATGAAAGATAAATGAGTTTCTGGGGTCGTTGTGAAGGGGGCGACCCTCTAAACCGGAACGATATTAACTGCATGTTATTACGGCCTCGTTCCTAGCCCTGGGAGAATCTGGGAGGGAGGGTGAGAGGGGATAGGCGAGAGAGAGGAAGGGTGCTGGCCAGAGGAGAGGGGAAATCAGCCACATTGAGTAGGGCGAATGAGTTATAAGACTACAGGAGGGAGTAGGTCATGCATTACAAGAGGGGTGAAGGGAAGTGCGTTTTATCATGGCCGAGGGGAAGTTAGGGGCTGCTGATAAGGCGAATGACAGGGGTCAGGGTGAGGGGCAGGGATTGTGATAAGGGAAGGGATTAGGGGGAAGCATATTAGGCGTTTTGAATCGTGTTATTGGAGTCATAAACGTGGGACTTTTTGATCTTGGATTTTTATCTACTTATTATGTTTCTGTGGGGCACTTAGGTACTTTCCTGGTGACAGGCTTAAGTGTGTCTTGGTAGTGAGTACAATGTCAAGATAAAAGTGTAACCTGTCCTTTTATCGCTTTTCGCTCGTGCGTTACATACGGCCAAAAATTGTCGTACTAGAAAATAACAGCGGTTCTCGAAAGAGACGTGCTGTCCTGTTTTCTGTTTTGTGTGCTGCTGTACTGTGTACAACACCACTACCTCACCACCATCTTGTCTCTTCTTGTCTACCCTCCCCTCGTCTACCCTCCCCCCTTCGTCTACCCTCCCCCCTTCGTCTACCCTCCCCCCTCGTCTACCCTCCCCCCCTCGTCTACCCTCCCCCCTCGTCTAACCTCCCCCCCTCGTCTAACCTCCCCCCTCGTCTACCCTCCCCCCTCGTCTACCCTCCCCCCCCTCGTCTACCCTCCCCCCCCCTCGTCTACCCTCCCCCCCCCTCGTCTACCCTCCCCCCCTCGTCTACCCTCCCCCCTCGTCTACCATCCCCCCTCGTCGACCCCTTCCCCCCTCGTCGACCCCTCCCACCCTCGTCGACCCCTCCCCCCCTCGTCGACCCCTCCCCCCCTCGTCGACCACTCCCCCCTCGTCGACCCATCCCCCCCTCGTCGACCCCTCCCCCCTCGTAGACCCCCCCCCTCGTCGACCCCCCCCCCCTCGTCTCCTCCCCTCGTCTCCTCTTGCCACCCCATTCCCCACAACCTCCACCATTATGGACCGTTGCTCTCTGGACTTGAGTTCATTTCGTGTCCGAGTAGCAGCAGCGATGATGAATGACTGCCAGGACTTGAACCCCAGCATGTGCCCCCCCTTTCCCCCTATTACCATCCCCATTATGTGCTCCCCTCCCCCATCCACCGCCCCCATTATGTGGCCCTTCCCTCCTTGGTCTTCCCCTATCCCTCCCTGGCGAATGGTTCTCTGGAGCTTGGAGTAAACAAGAACGCTCTCACCTGTTCAAGCAGACAGTTAAGAGAGGGTACAGAGAGGGAGGATAGAGAAGAAGGGGGAGATGGGAGGGACGCAGGGAAAATGGAGGGAAGAAAATAAAGATAGGAAGCAGGAACAGCAGTATACAATTGCCTTGACGAGGCTGTGGAGGCTGGCGGGAGATGAGAGGGGAAGGAGCGGCCATATTTCCCATGACTGCCTCAACGGAAGGGGAGAGTAAGAGAGGGTGAGGGAAGGGAGTTCCAGCCTTAAAATGATGACCATATTCATCTTAAAGTGTGGTATTTTGTGCTCGTTGACCAGAGATTGGAGTTGAAAAGTCCATTTGCAGGATCATCTGTGTGTGTGGGTGGGTGTGGGTGTACTCACCTAGTTGTGCTTGCGGGGGTTGAGCTCTGGCTCTTTGGTCCCGCCTCTCAACAGTCAATCAGCAGGTGTACAGATTCCTGAGCCTATTGGGCTCTATCATACCTACACTTGAAACTGTGTATGGAGTCAGCCTCCACCACATCACTTCCTAA